TCTCTATGCCTCCCTTCATTAAATGAGGATAATAATAGTATCCACCATAGGGTTTTAATTGCAAAGAAAAGCCTGGAACATACTTTCTTTAAGAAAAGTTAGTCTTTTGAGTGTGCATGTTTGAATTTTTAGGTTACCTCTTTGATCATATCACCCATGACCGGCTGTTACTTCAGTGCACTTGCAGAAACAAGTTTAAAGGACAGCAGGTGGCAGGTGTCACCATAGAGGAGCCTCAGACATCATCTCTGAACGCTTCACCTGTTGTCTATCACCTCACTCCTCCTTTAAGTTCAACACACATTTATTGAGCACATCTCTTCTTTTTATATTAGGATTCAGAGATATAAGACTGAACAAACAGTTGCCGTACTCATGGAACTTAGTCAAATGGAAATATATGCAACAGATCCAGTCTACTGTGATTGCGAGCTCAAATGGATGCATGTGGAAGGTCATAAGAGGTAGATAGGATGGAGAGTAAACAAGGCTTCTCCAAGGTGGTGGCATCTCAGTAAGATTTTAAAGGGAATAAGAATAGGGAGAGTGAGAAACATCAGCATGGTTTGTTACAGGAGAACTGGACCTCAGAGTGTGAGTGGAGACGTGGTAGGAGATGAACTGAAGGCATACGTAGGAGCTAAATTATGTAAGAGCTTTGGCCTTTATCATGTGAACAGTGGAGGCCTATGAAGGGTTTGTTGTTGTTCATTGTTACGTGTTTTAGACAGCAGAATTATAAAATTTGCACTTTAACAAGATCCGCCTAGCAGGCATATAGAAGATAAACCTGAGAAAGTGTGTTATTTTTAGCTATTAATACTAACACTTGGGAATAACTCCAGAGCACCAACTTAAGTCACACCCTACAGTAGAAAATTTAAAGCAGGTACCATTCCTAACATTTTCTTCTTACCAGTTTTTATCTGTATAGGTTTTTGTCAGGTGTTGAGCTTCTAGAAGGCTAGCACTGCATCTGTTTAACTTTGTGTAAAACACTGCATATAGAGTCTCTGGCATGAAGAGGTGTGGGAGGTGCCGGCAGGTTCATGTCATCACTGCACATTCCTTGTCTATACATTATAGACATTTAAGAAAATTTTTGGAGTGAAGATAGCCCAAGTTGAATTTTGCAGTGCTGCATCCTATCTTTAGAACACACTGACCCACACCTCCATCTGTCGCAAGCAGCTTGACAAAGATCACTGTAAATTCTTTTTCCTTGGCTTTCTTTTAACTGGCACTCTGTTTGCTAGTCCCTCTGTGCAACTGTAGTATAGTGATGATTGATGCTTCTAATTCTGACCCTGGAGTACTTCAAGCCTTCTAAATCATCAAAAAAACATTAAAGTATATTCAATACCACTCTAATGTTTGTGTGTTTTACTGCATTCTCATTCTTTGGAAATTGATGATTTATCAAAGGCCTGTATACACATGTGTACACAGGCACAGTGAAGGCTGACTAGCCACTTCTCCCCCCCCCCCCCATTACAGGGCCAGGCGCAGAGGGTTCATTAGCAATGCATGTTCAAAAATACACAAGCAAAACAAACATAGGTTGTCTTCATGCCAAGAAAGAGGAAACACGTTGGCTCCCAAGGGGCAGATTGAACAGAAATGTGAGAGAAAACGGTGGCTAGCAAAACAGTGGGAGTGATAGAGCAAGAAGTGGCACTGACCCGGGAGTCAGGCCGCTCACAAGCAGTCCTCACAGAAGCACAGCCCTTGGAAGGGCAGGATGTGGGCTGGGGAGGAGGGGCGGCACCATGTTCTTGTGCTCTGTGACACAAATCATCAGGCCCGCCTTTGGCAGGATTCTCCATCAGCTTCATCTGTATTGCAGCAACAACCGCTCAGTAAAATGCCAAACATCGCCAAGTGCAAACATCAATAATTAGCGCATCCTGGTTCCCACACACATCTTTTCATGAGACCCTTCATTATTGCAGAGCTGACACTAGTATTAGGCCCAGAATGAAGATCTCTGAATAGAAGATTTAAGATGACTCCATTTTATAATCTGGGTCCCAAGAAAACAGGTGTGATGTTGTCACCAGAAGGGAGATTTTTGCTGTTTGGGTTTCCTTTTGGGGGTTGTATATTGAAGTAAGTAGAGCTGCCTCTTAACATTTCATTGTACAAATTTGTTTTTAAAATCTCTGTGACCAGTAAGTTATGCCTGTGTTAGGGAGCTACACTCTCTGTCCCTGCCTGACAAGCCATGCTTGCTGACACTGAATTTGGGAAGGTTACTTTGTCTGGGTCTTGGTTTTTCCTTTATCTGAAATACTAGAAAAATAGAAATTTCTTCTTTACAGGGTTGCTGTGAGGCTGAAATAAGACTCCTCCCCCCCCCAAAAAAAAAACAAAACTCCAAACTCACTGCCATGGACTCGATTCTGACTCATAGCAACCCCTGTTGGGTTTCTAAGGCTGTAAATCTTTATGGAAGCAGACTGTCCTATCTTTCTTCCATGGAGCAGCTGTTGGGTTTGAACTACTGACCTTTTGGTTAGCAGCCAAATGCCTTAACCAAATGAAATAGTGGATGTGAAAATGCTTACGTATTAAGCCCTATATAAATAAATGTTGTTGTTATCTACCATTGTTTGGCCCCCAACTCATGGTGACCCCATGGACAATGGAATGAAATACTGCTTGGCCCTATGCCATCCTCATGACCCATTGTGGGTTGACACTTGTGATCCGTAGTATTTTCATTGGTTGATTTTTAGAAATAGACCACCAAGCCTTTCTTCCTAGTCCATCTTACTCCGGAAGTTCTGCTGAAACCTGTTCAACATCATAGCAACACACAGGCCATCACTGACAGACAAGTGATGGCTACATAGAAGGTGCATCAGTTGGGAATGGAACCTGGGTCTCCTGGATGGAAGACAAGAGTTCTACCACTGAACTATCAGTGCAAGTTAGATATGACAGCCTTTTCCAAGATAAGGGAATTGAGGCTTCTGGTCACAGAAATGAGATTTGAACCTTCTGGACGCTAGAATTTATGTTCTTTCTCCTATACTGTGTTAATCTCTAGTTGTCTCTAAAAACCAAACTCACTGTTATCAAGTCGATTCTGACTCATGACCCCTCCTTGGGTTTCCAGGGCGATATCTCTATGGAATTAGATTGCCCATTCTTCCTTTCGAAGGGTGGCTGGTGGGTTTGAACTGCCAAGCTTCTGGTTAGCAGTCAGATGCACTATGCCACTGGCTCCAAAACCTCCCAAATTATTAAAACCTGTTCACTTCTTTTGGGGCTGGGAAGTTTGCTGGCCATTTGGTGGACATAAGCTCCTTTAAGTAGCGCATCCAAAAGGAGCTCCTGAGATCCAGGAGCCCCTGGCAAGATCAGCACCACAGGGATCTTCAGGATGAGTGGACACGCACTCAGATCCTCTTTTAGGGAAGTGGTCAGGCCTGTACTGAAATGAAAGCCAGGAGGCAGATAGGCCACAGTCCCAGCCCCTGAGGAGATGGTGACAGCCTCTAGTTTCCTAAAGGTCATTCTTCAGTCAAGGTGAAGCCACCCCTGTCAGCCTCTTGGGTCCTGCCTAGGCCTTACTGTTCATATCTCACTGAGTTCTGGTGAGCTGCTTCCTGGGTCCCCCTCTCTCAGGAACAGTGTTTCTTCATGTACTCTGACTGACTCCTTATTCTGCCTGAGAAGAGAATGAGATAAGTTACTATCAAGAAGGGTTGTGTCCTTTCACCATACTTATTTAATCTATATGCTGAGCAAATAATCCGAGAAGCTGGACTATGTGAAGAAAAACGCATCAGGATTGGAGGAAGAATGGTTAACAACCTGTGATACGCTGATGACACAACTTTGCTTGCTGAAAGTGAGGATGACTTAAAGCACTTACTGATGAAGATTAAAGAATACAGTCTGCAGTATGGATTACATCTCAATATAAAGAAAACAAAAATCCTCATAACTGGACCTCTAAGTAGCATCACGATAAATGGAGAAAAGATTGAAGTTGTCAAAGACTTCACATTGCTTGGCTCTACAATCGATGCCAATGGAAGGACCAGTCAAGACATCAGATGACATATAGCACTAGGCAAATCAGCTACAAAGAACCTCTTTCAAGTGCTGAAGAGCAAAGATATCTCCTTGAGGACTAAGGTGCACCTGACACAAGCCATGATATTTTTAGTAGCCTCATATGCATGTGAGAGTTGGACAATGAATAAGGAAGACTAAAGAAGAGTTGATGCTTTTGAGTTATGCTGGCAAAGAATGCTGAAAGTACCATGGACTGCTAAAAGATCTAACAAATCTGTCCTGGAGGAAGTGCAGCCGGAATGCTCCTTGGAGGCGAGAATGGCGGGACTTCGTCTCACCTACTTTGGTCATGTTGTCAGAAGGGACCATTCCCTGGAAAAGGATGTCATGGTTGGTAAGGTGGAGGGTCGATGAATGAGATGAATTGACACAGTGGCTGCGGCAGTGGGCTCAAGGATAGCAAGGATTGTGGAGCTGGCGCGGGATCGGGCGGTGTTTCGTTCTACTGTGCACAGGGTCACTGTGAGTCGGAAGCGACTCGACAACACCTAACACAACATGCTTCCTAGGTTCCCCTCTCTCAGAAACTGTCTCTTCATGTACTCTGACTGACACCTTATTCTGCTTGAGGAAGTGAGATAAGTTTGCCCATGTAATAAATACCCCACTAGGCTTTTCTGGGACTCTTCCTGTTAACTTCCATCCCAGGTGTAGAGGTAAGGGTACCCTGATGTGGCAGCTCATTAAGTGCCCAGTGGGACCACTGCCACATGCATTTTCTTTTTTAAATAAAGTTTTCCTGATTCCCAGGCAAACAGAGTTGGCTTGTGAACTTGAGCTGCCCATGCAGAGAACCAGAGATAATGCCTGTTGAAGGGCTACATTGAATATTCACTGAGGATGTCAGTGTGTGGGAGAAGCATTTGTTCAAACCTCAGATCTGAGAGGAGCTGTGTGTCGTGCTTCTATAGGTTCTCAACAGGAGATGTGTAGAAGCAGCCGTGATGACAGGCCTGGCGCTGAACTGCCGCATAAACAAGAAGTCTTTGTTTGACAGGAAGCATTACTTCTATGCCGACCTCCCTGTAAGTATGCTGTGTGATCTACCCTCTGTAAGTTCTCTTGCTGGGCTGGCCTTGCCTTAGGGGGCTTAAGAAGGGGGAGGGGACTGTGCCTCTCAAGCTTTCTGTCAGTGCTCTGTCCATCTCAGCAGGAAGTTTTATGGAGCCCTGATGAAGGCAGGTGCCCCCTGATGTGTGCTAGATTGGAAGCAATTGTCCTGATTGCTGACTCCTTGCTTAGCCTCATGCTTCTGGTGGCTATCTCATAATTGAATGGGGAGTGGAAGAAGCCAGTGTTCCCTGGCTGGGCCCAGCCGTGGTGTTTGGTGCTTATTGCCTGTTAGGACGGAAGCAAGAGCTGTGGTTGATGCAAGGGTAAGTGCATATGGTAGCTCAGCAGATGGAGTGAGAGCCTCTCTAAGTCGAAGTTCCCAGTAATGGAACTGTCTCCTTGGGAGCCATTTCTGTCACCTCACAAGGAGCCAGTAAGTGGACAATAGTAAGCAGAGACATGAACCAGAAACCCAAACTAACAACAGTAATTGTCTAAGCAATAAACCCAATATTAACTTACTTTTTCATTAAAATTAAAACTTTATTTCCTTTGCACAAAGCCAGTGTGACCTAGAGCCAATTTTTCATATTGAACTAGCACAAAACAAATGTTGAGTGAGTTCCCCAAAATAATGTTTCATTTGCTCTGAGCCTCTCTTAGTAAGTAAGGCTCATCTTCAGCTTTGGACAAAGAGTAGTGATGCTGTTGCTTGACCTCATTCTTCTTAAACTGAAGGTGGGGGTGAGCTGCTTCTTAGTGGGTACAGCCAGAAGAATTAAATTAAAAAACTAAGACCTGAATTCTCCCATTGCTGCTTCTTTCCCCCTCTGGCTGCCAGCCTCTTAGCAAATTCTGTTGCTTGATAGGGTAGAGAGAATTAAACTATATTTTTCTGTCTTTTAAGAATGATAACCAGTTTGGTTAGGGTAGAACACTTAGCAAGATGTGGCTAAAATGCACTGTTTTGATTATCTGTGGCTTTCTGTTCTTTCTAGCCCAGGTAGCTCACATAATCCAGAGTTTGGGTTGCCAAGTATCACACGGGAGAGGCTTGTACTACCAAAGTATTTGCTGTATAAGTATTGATGTTACTAGGTATTCTGTGTTTTATCTGGCAACCCTGTCCAGAGTTTAATTTTACAAATTGAGACTTCCTCTTTCAGTATAGAGATGAATTAGCCTAGGGCAGTCATTCTCAAAAATGTCAATTCCCCATCCTTTAACCTCAGCATCTCCTGGAAACTTGTTGGAAATAGAAATTCTCAGACCCCACCCCAGACCTACTGAATCAGAGGCCCAGAATTTCTGTTTTGACAAGCCTGCCCGGTGATTCTGATGCAGCTCAAGTTTGTAAACCACTGACTGGCCCAGCGGTGGAAGCACCGACTCTGGAGCTAGGCCATCTGAGCTCCATTGATTCTTCACTACCTGTTTGGCTGTGGGTAAGGCCCTTCATCCCTCTGTGCCTCATACCCACCATGTAGGGTTGTCATGAGGAGCGAATGTAAAGTTCGAGGACAGTACTTGGGACCTAGCAAGTGCTATAAGATACCTTAGCGATTGTTCTCTCTTCTTTTGCAGTTCTCCTTATTGACCTTCTGCTTCTTTAGTATAAAAACCAAACCAAACTCACTGCCCTCGAGTTGAACCTGACTCATAGTGACCCCTCCTTGGGTTTCTAAGGCGGTATCACTATGGAAGTAGATTGCCAAACCTTCCTTCTGAGGAGTGGCTGGTAGGTTTGAACCACCTGTCTCCTGGTTAGCAGTCAAATGCCTTAGGCACTATGCCACCAGAGCTCCTTCTCTTTAGTATGTGTCTTTGAAAATAATTCTTCCTTTCCACTTAGAAGGAGATAAGGGAATCCTTGCAACATGTATTGCTATTTCAGTACTGTGTGCTTTCCAGTAGCTGGAGTGTGAGTGTCACCACATTTACTGGCTGGAGCAACATGGGAAGTTAGGGCAGGGATGAGCTGGCATGATTGGTTTAGTTGAAGGAGCAGAAACCAAACAAGCTTGACTGCACTAGCAACTGCTGTCTGCCATGTGGAGAGAAGATGGCAAAATGCTTGGCCAGCACTTCCTAATAAGGAGGGTCTGTCAGGGGCCCAGTAATCAGATGCAGAGTTTAGGCTAATGAGCTAACTGAAAACAATGAATTCTTTTCTTAGGAACTCCTGACAATGAGACTGTTGTTATTCCTGAAAATGGCATTGGAGTAAGGAAGATGGGACCCCTGTTTTTTACCAGTTATTGGGGGTGGGAAGGAGACGTTGGGAGGGTTACTGCGGACAGGAAAAGCCAGAGGCCAGACTAAATGATGGCTGCACTACATAGACTAAGTTTTCTTTTCCTTTCTTTTTTAAAGTAAGTCTATAGTTTTACGAAATTAAAAAGAATATAAGATGGATCCCAGCCTTTATTTCAGTTCAACAAATCAGACTAGTGACTTTGTAACCCATGCTTATGTGCAGGCAGGCTACCAGATTACCCAGCAACGGCTTCCAATTGCTGTGAATGGGAGCTTGACATACGGCGTCTGTGTGGGGAATAAGCGGAGTCAGGTAATCACCAAGACTGTGAGGATCAAGCAGATCCAGCTGGAGCAAGACAGTGGCAAGAGCCTCCATGATGACCTGAGATCTCAGACTCTCATTGACCTGAACAGGGCGGGTAGGCTTGGTGTTTCTTCATTACCTTTCCTTCAGCCACCTCAGTTGTTTGGTTTTAGGCACCTTTCTTCCCCTCTAGAGTTTTCCCAAACCAACTGAGGAGATCAAATATATCAGTGTTAGTACTGTTATTTAAAAAAAAAAAAAAAACTCATTGCCATCGAGTTGGTTCTGACTCATAGTGACCCCTTCTTGGGTTTCCGAGGCAGTATCACTACGGAAGTAGATTGCCCAGTCTTCCTTCCGAGGAGTGGCTGGTGGGTTTGAACCGCAAGCCTTCTGGTTAGCAGTCAAATGCCTTAGCCACTACACCAACAGAGCTCCTAGTATTTAGTTGATTACAAAGCATGGCTTGAACAGTGATTACCATTGGGCTTTTTAATAATTACTCCTAAAATTCAACAAACTTATCCACCTAGTCATGGACCCAACAGCTTGACATTTTAAGTGGACATTAAAAACAATGAACTAAAGTTAGAAATCAGGAAGGCTAAAACCATGTTGAGAGTCCTTTAGTAACACACAGTTTTCCTAAGACTTAAGCCAGATTCAGGAGTTGCTCAGATTGGAGAATTGGGACTGACTCTGTCTTCCTTTGGCAGGAGTTGGACTTCTGGAGGTGGTCATGGAGCCTGACATGACCTGTGGAAAAGAGGCAGCAACAGCTGTCAGGGAGCTGCAGCTGGTCCTTCAAGCCCTGGGGACGAGCCAGGCAAATATGGCAGGTAGAGGCCACAGAAGCATTGCCCCTCTTTCTTTACCTTCTCCCTTTCTGCCTCTTAGAGCTCTTCTGACTTGAGTTTTACTCTCTGCCATCAGCTACATTGAAGTTCTTTATATCCTTTTTTTTTCTTTTGTCTTTTGCATTCCTGGCTATTTTTTCTTGGACTGTTCCTTGGATTCTTTCCTGAACTCCAAGCCAGAAACAATACAAACATACAACCACCACATTGGAGAGACATTCTGCCCAAGTGTGAGAAGATTAGGAGTCAAAGGACTAGATCCTTTCCTCTGGCTTCTTACATCAGAATGTTGTTAGGACTGATGAAATAATGAGTTTAAGCAATGAAGTATTTCTCAGAAAGAAGACTGTGTTTGTCAGTAGTTCTTACTTTGTGAGTTCTGTATAGGTAGAGAAGCATTGATGGTTCTGTGGTAGAATTCTCTCCTTCCATGTGGAAGACCTAGGTTCAATCCCCAGGCAGTGTACCTCAAACCATGGCCACCACCCATCTGTCACTGGAGGTGTGTGTTACTATGATGCTAAACAGGTTTCAGCAGAGCTTTCAGACTAAGGCAGAGTAGAAAGAAAGGTCTGGCAATCTACTTCTGAAAATCAGCCAGTGAAAACCCTATGGATTATAATGGTTTGGTCTGATCTGCAACCAGTCAGGGGGATAGTGCAACACCAGGCAGCATTTCATTCTGTTGTGAGTCAGGTCGTCATGAGTCGGAGCTGACTTTACAGCAGCAAACACCAACAAAGTATGCTTCCTTTGGGTCTCTCTTTTGTAACATTTTCATCCATGCACTGGGAACCAAATTACATTAACACTAAGTCAAGATTATGACTTCACAAAACTTTAACTTTGAGATTAAATCTTAAATTCAGTTGAAATACACCAAAAGAAACCCTACCAAACTCACTGCCGTTGACTTGATTTCAACTCATAGTGACTTGCATTAGGTTTCTGAGGTGGTAAATCTTTGTGGAAGTAGATCTCCCCATCTTCCTTCCATGGAGCAGCCGGTGGGTTTGAACTGCCAACCTTCTGGTCAGCAGTCAAATGCCTTAGGCATTATACCACCAGAACTCCTTAGTAGATTATGTTGTTGTTGTTGTTAAGTGCCGTCGAGTCGTTTCCGACTCATAGCGACCCCATGCACAGCAGAACGAAACACTGCCCGATCCCACGCCAGCCCCATAATCCCTGCTATACTTGATTCCCATCATCTCAGCCACCGTATCAATCCATCTCGTTGAAGGCCTCCCCCTCTTTCGTCGACCCTCCACCCTACCAAGCATGACATCCTTCTCCAGGGAATGGTCCCTTCTTACAACATGACCAAAATAGGTGAGACGAAGTCTGGCCATTCTCGCTTCCAAGGAGCATTCTGGCTGCACTTCCTCCAGGACAGATCTGTTAGTTCTTTTAGCAGTCCATGGTACTTTCAGCATTCTCCGCCAGCACCACAACTCAAAAGCATCAACTCTTCTTCGGTCTTCCTTATTCATTGTCCAGCTCTCACATGCATACCAGGCGATTGGAAATATCATGGCTTGTGTCAGGTGCACCTTAGTCCTCAAGGACATATCCTTGCTCCTCAGCACTTGAAACAGTTCCTTCACAGTTGACTTTCCCAATGCTACACGTCGTCTAATGTCCTGACTGCTGCTTCCGTTGGCATCAATTGTAGAACCAAGCAACGTGAACTCTTTGACAACCTCAATCTTCTCTCCATTTATTGTGATGCTGTAGTAGATTATAGTGGGAAATTAAAAGAAACACTTATTGGGGCCAAACAACCTGCAAATTTTAAGTATTTGAAATTGGATGTAAAAATGACAAGTTTTGGTCAAACTTGGTTTCTTCAGGGCTCTGCTCCCATAGGCCCTAGTTATGGTTGTTTTGCCTCCCTTAAGCCCCTATAGGCTGGTCTCGCCCAAGGTTTTCCTCTCTTTTCTGGCCCTAATGGACAGTGTGAAGTCACCGTGGTGCCTAGTAAATGTCATTGATGACTCATCTTCCTACTGGTTTAGAAGATTGTTTGCCAACCTTATTATGTCACATGATGGATTTGCTTGTTACAAAGGGACTTCTGAACCTGTAATGCCACATTTGTCACATAGGACATCTTACAAGCAACAAACTGTAATATCAAAGCTCTGGTACAAGTTGAATTTGAAGACAGAACTTACATTTTTACTCCATCTCTAAGCTAAAGATTAGAAAACATAGCTATGAGAGTGTGAATGGCATAAAGGTTAGCTACCTCCCTTTATAGAAATGAGCTCTGTTTCAGAGAAAGAGAACTCGCAGTATTAGCTTTATCACTCGTGCTGCTTTTTTACCAATAGAAGAACATAAGTGAAATATAAGCAGGTTGGATGGTTATCCATTTACATGCTAAGTGTTGGTTTTCTATTGTTTTAAAAAAGTTTTTGTTATTGCATTCTTCCTCAAAATAACTGTGATTTGAACTAAACCTATGGAATAATAAACAGACCACCTGTTAGCTGAGAAATAGTCCCATCTGGGTACTTGCCAAGAGATAAACCATAATGGTAAGAACTAATCAGTGGGTGACAGTTGAGTGGGTTCATTAAATCTCATTTGTTGTGATACTTTTTTTGTTTCCTTTAAGAACAAATCCAACAGTTTTGCTTCTAGCACAGCAGCAGAGTGGCTGCATTGCTCTGAAATGCTGTGGGGAGTTAAGGTTGGCCTGGAGTCCACAGGAGTCCAGATTCCTGGTGCAGTTTCAGTTAGCATTTTATGAGCTCCGAATCCTTTGTGTAGTCCCTGTCCCATCACCATATGACCACTGTGTTGGTGTGTTGGCATTGGAGATTTGGTCTGGGAACCCTAGCACATGGCATTGAGGACCAGTGGCCCCCCAGCATGCTTTTGGAATGAAGCATAAATTGTGCTGTGCTGCAGTTCAGTGAGTTAAGAATAATTTTGCTAATGAGCGTGGACCAGCCCAGCCAGGCTTCCAAATTCATTTCCTTCCTGGTGGACAAATGTTTTTACTATTAAGATCCTCAGAGTAGTTAGTTGAGTTGAATATTTGCAGCAATAGGCATGCTAAATATTTCAAATGATAATATAATCTACCAGTTTGAACATTCATTATGTACTAGTCAGTTGACTAAGCTTTTGTTAAAATTATTATCTCATTTAAACTTTACATCATTCCTGAGAGATGAGTATTAATAATGCCTGTTGTACAAGTGAGGAAACTGAAGTTTAGAGAGGTCTGGCTATTTGCTCAAGGCTCACAAGAAGTGACTGAGCTAAGATTTGAGTCCAGGTGTGCCTGTGGTGCCAACAGGTAACATGGTTAGCTACTAACCAAAAGCTTAGAGGTTTGAGTCTGCCCAGAGGAAAGTGCCTGGCGAGCTATGTCCAAAACCAGCCATTGAACACCTTATGGAGCACAGTTACACTCTGAGACGTGTGGGTCACCATGAGTTGGAATCAACTCAACAGCAACTGGTTAACTGGTGTCCGACCTTAGAAGCCCTTTCTTAAGGACTGTATCATGCTATGTCCTCATGGCAGCCCCAGGCAGTGTCATGACTATCTTAAGATAACACTGTAGAGGGGCCCTCTAACTGGCATGGTTGCTAAGGGCACTGAAGTCCCTAGCCTGTGTTGGAACCCTATCCTACCATTTCTGTAGGAACCTGGGCAGGTTATTTGATCTCCGTGAACTTCAGTTTCCAGATTAGAAAGTGTTGTTGTTGGTTGCTGAGCCCCTCAAGAATTGCATATGGAATGGTTTCAAAGAGAGTTGATGCAGCTAGATGGTAGTGACACCTGAGATGGGAAAGATTGAGGGAAAAATGGGTTTGTGGGAGAAAATCCAGAATTCCACTTTGGATATGTTCAGTTTGAAGTGCTAAGGGATGTCTAAATGGTTTTGTCATTAAAGGTGTATTGTAGGGAATGAATGTGATAATGTATGTGAAACTTAACCTGGGGCTTGCCAATAGCCTGTACTCAGTAAATGTTAGGTGCTTTGATTAACAATAAAACCAAAACCAAACCCTTTGTCTACCAGTAGATTCCATCTCATGGAGATGTCATGTGTCACAAAGTAGAACTGTTCCATAGGGATCTCTTGGCTGTAATCTTTTATGGAAGCAGATTGCTAGGCCTTTCTTTTGCAGCACCACTGGGTGGGTTCCAATTGTCAACCTATAGGTTAGTAGTCGAGCACAAACTGTTTGCACCACCAGGGGCCTTATTAACAGTAGGAACCCACTGCATCAAGTTGATTCCAACTCATAGCAGCTCCTTTTGGGTTTCCAAGGCTGTAAATCTTTACAGAAGTAGATTGCTTCATCTTTCTCCCATGAAGCAGCTGGCAGAGTTGAACTGCCAGCCTCCCAGTTAGCAGCCAAAACCTTACCCACTACACCACCAGAGCTCCTTGTTAACTATCGTAAGTAGTATTCGTTTTACAGAATCCACTTACTTGGATGAATAAGCTTTGTGAAATGTGTTTGATAAAATTGATTCCATTATTATTTTTCTTTTTTTTATCAAACCTTATTATTAAAGTTCTGGAGAGTATTCAGTGATGAGAATGAGATAGCTTAGCAGACCTTCTCACCAAATCCTTTGCCCCCTGCTGTTTACAGAAACAGTTTGCTGCCCTGATGTTGTATTTCTGATGTGTGAATATGTTTCAGGGAGAAATATGTAACTGCACCATATCACTGTGCTCAGTGGTCTTGTTTTTTAGTTTTCCTGTTACAAATCTCTGCTTGTAGAAGCCAGAAATTGAGCTTGATAACATCCTCCTAGTGTGTGAATGTAGGCCCTCCCAGTGCTGCAGAATGCATTGAAGTAAACCTGATTGGTGCACTTGAGCCAATTTTACTGAATTTGTTTAAAAGGTATTTTGTCTTCACTGGATAGAATGTCTTTTGTTAATATTTGCTACTGTATTGAACCCAGGCTAGTGAACTCTCTTTCAACACTGCAGGATACTA